CAGAATTGAGAATTACCAGTGATTCTGTGAGCTAAACAGGACTGCTTTTATTTGGGCCTTTAAAAAAATTATTTCTTATTTTCAGTAACCCTGCCAGGAACTTTCATTATCTCTATTTCACAGATAAGAAAGCTGAGGATAGATCACTGAGAAGGTCAAAGAGGTAGTTAAGTGGCAGAGAAGAAATTTAGTGGCAGAGAAGCTTAGGTCTTCAAGGACTTTTCACAATAACCCAAGCAAATTGTTTTCTATTAATAATTTTGAATTGAATCAGTAATAATCATTTCAAGAGGAAGAATCTCTTACTTGAAGTCAAAAGCTAGAAAAGATTAAGCTTACTGAGGAAGGCATGTCAAAAGCCAGGACAGGCTGAAAGGCAGGCCTCCTGTACCAAGCAGTTAGCAAAGTTGTGAATTCAAAGGAAACTAATAGTGCTACTCTAATGAACACATGAATGATAAGAAAGCAAAACGGCCTGATTGCTGATATGGAGACAGTTTCAGTGCTCTAGATAGAAGATCAAACCAGCCAAAACATTCCTTAAGCTAAAGCCTAATCCAGAACAAAGCCCTAACTCTCTCTTCAACTCTGTGAAGGCTGAGAGAGGTGTGGAAGCTGCAGAAGAAATGCTCCGAACTATCAGAGCTTGGTTCATAAGAGTTAAGGAAAGATGCCATCTCCACAACAAGTGCAAGGTGAAACTGCAAGTGCTGATGTAGAAGCTGCAGCAACTTATATAGAAAATACAGCTAAGATAACTGATGGAGGTGGCTACACTAAATGACATATTTTCAATGTGGATGAAACAGCCTTCTATTGGAATAAGATGCCACCTAGGATCTTCATAACCTGAGAGAAGTCAATGCTTGGCTTCAAAGATTCAAAGGATGGGCTAACTCTTTTGTTAGGGGAAAATGCAGCTGGTGACCTTAAGTCAAAGCCAATGTTCACTTACCATTCCAAAAAATCCTGGGGCCCTTAAGAATTATGCTAAATTTACTCTGCCCATGCTCTATCAATGGAACAACAAAGCCTGGATGAGAGCACACCTGTTTATAGCATGGTTTACTGAATATTTGAAGCCACTGTTCAGACCTACTACTCAGAAAAAAAGATTCCTTTCCAAATAATACTGTTCACTGACAATGCACCCAGTCACCTAAGAGTTCTGACTAAGATTTACAAGATTAATGTTGTTGTCATGCCTATTAACAAAACATCCATTCTGCAGCCCATGGATCAAGAAGTAATTTTAAATTTCAAGTCTTATTATTTAAGAAACACATTAAATAAGGCTATAGCTGCCATAGATTATTATTCCTCTGATGGATCTGGGAAAAGTAAATTGAAAACCTGCTAGAAAAAATTCACCATTCTAGATGCCATTAACAGCATTCATAATTCATGGAAGGAGGTCAAAATATCAACATTAGGCTGGGCATGGTGGCGCATATCTATAGTCCCAACCACTTAGGAGGCTAAGGCGGGATGATTGCTTGAGCCCAGGAGTTCAAGGTTACAGTGAGCTGTGATTGCACCACTGTACTACAGTCTGGGCAACAAAGCAAGGCTCTGTCTCTTAAAGAAATTTAAAAATTTTTTTAAAACATCGACATTAACAGAAGTTTGAAAGAAACTGATTCCAACCCTCATGGATGACTTTAAGGGATTTAAGACTTTAGTAGACAAAGTATTAATAACTTCAGGTGTGGTAGAAATAGCAATAGAATCTGAATTAGAGGTGGAGCCTGAAGATATGATTAAATTTAAACAGATGAGGAGTTGCTTCTTATGGATGGACAAAGAAAATGGGTTCTTAAGATGGAATCTACTCCTGATAAAGATACTGTGAACACTGTTGAAACAACAGCAAAGACTATTACATAAACTCAGTTGACAAAGCAGGCAGGGTTTCAGAAGATCGACTTCAATTTTTTTTTTTTTTTTTTGAGACAGAGTCTCACTTTGTTGCCTGGGCTAGAGTGCCATGCTGTCAGCCTAGCTCACAGCAACTTCAAACTCCTGGTCTCAGGTGATCCTTCTGCCTCAGCCTCCCAAGTAGCTGGGACTACAGGCATGCACCACCATGCCAAGCTAATTTTTTCTATTTTTGGTAGAGACAAGGTCTCGCTCTTGCTCAGGCTGGTCTCAAACTCCTGAGCTCAAACAATCCACCCACCTCGGCCTCCCAGAATGCTAGGATTACAGGTGTGAGCCACCACGCCTGGCCTGGCCTTCAATTTTGAAAAAAGTTCTACTGTTGGTAAAATGCTATCAAATAGCATCACATGCTACAGAGTAATCTTTTGTAAAAGGAAGAGATCGATGTGGCAAACTTCATTTATCTTATTTTAAGAAATTGCCACAACCACCCTGACCTTCTGCAACTACCACCCTAATCAATCAGCAGTCGTAACACTGAGGCAAGACTCTCCAGCAGCAAAAGGTTATCTTGCTGAAGGCTCAGATGCTTGCCAACATTTTTAAGCAATAATGTGTTTTTAATTAAGGTATGTACACTGTTTTTTTAGACATAATGTTATTGCACACTTAATAGACTACAGTATAGTATAAACATAACTTTTATATGCACCAGGAAACAAAAAAATTCACGTGATTCATTTTACTGCAGATTGTGGTGGTGGGAACCAAATCCACAATATCTCTGATGTATGCCTATAATGTGTTTCAAACAATCAAATTTCAATACATATTGATAGAAACATAGCAATATTCATATAATTCTTATATTTAAGTAGCTAGAAAACATAGCTGGCATTAAAAATACAGTTTATCCATCTATTTATAGTTGCACAGTAATAATATAAGGTAATCAAGCCTGGCCACCACTGACACAGCACTCACCAGGTACCAAGCTCTATTCCAAACGCTTCACAAATTGAATCTCTAAAACATCTCTATAAGGTACTCTATTATTACCATCCCCATTTTACAGATGAGGAGACTATCTTCTAATGTCATACCATCTGTATTCAAGATGTCCAACCTCCTGCAAAAATTTCCTTTCAAGATTCCAAGGCTTTCTACCATATTCCTTGAAACTTCTGTGCATCATAATTAACTTACTTCCATCACTACTAACTTCTTCACAACACAGTAGCTCCCTATCTTTTCATTTAACATTGAAGACTAACCTAACCATCTCTAATCCTCGACCTTCCTCTTGAGGGAAGTTTCTTGTCTCTCAGGCTCCAGATATCAGTGTGGGGATCCCCTAGGCCCCAAGGCTCACCTACTCATTCAAAAGTCCTTCCTTTGATGAGGACTCCACTTTTAATGCTGCCACATACCCTCTTGTAATCTTTGTGAGGCAAAGGAAACTTACAGAAAACACCTCCAGAAAGATTCATGTACATACAAACTTTTGTGAACCATTTGATCCATGGCCCCCCTTGGAGCTCTTCTGAAGCTCTTCTATGTGGAGCAGGCATCCTCAAACTACAGTCTGCGGGCCACATGATGCCCACCTAGGACATTTATCCCGCCTGCCGGGTGTTTTTGTCCTGCTTAGCAGCCGACTCGTCCCAGGCCCACAGTGCACACTCTCCAATGGTCTGAGGGACAGTGAACTGGCTCCCTGTTTAAAAAGTTTGAGGACCCCTGATCTAGAGCCTGCACATGAGCCAGCCCCCAGCTGTGCCCCACAGTCTCTCAAAATGTAGTCCCAGAACCACCTATTCCAGAATCACCTGGAATGCTTATTTAAAGCAACACCACTGGAATTAACTTTGGATTGGACTCTTTAATGACGAAGCCCAGGAGCCTTCATTTTAAACACTCTCTCCAGATGGCTCTAAGGACACGGGGACCTGATTAAGAACCTCAACTGTAAAATACTCACTTTTTGACTCTGCCCTATCCCTTTGACATCATGCTGGAAGACTACAACATCAAAGTGATAACCTGCCACATGTATGCATTAGCTTCAATTTATATGTGTGTGTGTGTGTGTATATATATATATATATATATATATATATATGTCACCAGCTCCCCCTGTCCACATCAGTAGCCCACTCCTGCTGTCATATCCTACACCCAGAATAACTCAACTTACCAATATTCTTATGACCAATGGTGTACCCTGCCCAACATATCCATCTTCTGTTCCCACCAAATCTGCTCTTCAGTCACAGCCAGATTCTTACCCCATGACTTCTGTTTTCTTCCATCTAGCTTTGCAGCTTCAATTTCTGCTGTGCCCAGCACAGATGACAGTCAGTCTTACACCCTCTTACCAGCCACCATGGATAGACTTCCCCATGGACTTCGAAATACCCACCCTGCATCTTCCAGCCCTGTCTCAGATGGGGCAGGACGTGGGATGCCACAGCTAGCCTAGCAGGCTGTTACCCTTAGACTCCTAATTCCAGTTCAGGCTGGCCTAGGATAATAACCATTATTATAACTAATACTTACCAAGCACTAATTGAATTAGATAATAATAATCTCATATAGTCCTCACAACAACTCTATGCAGTGGGTACATTATTATCCCCATCATAAATCAGTAACACTGAGGCTAAAAGAGCTTACCTAACTTACCTAAGGCCCTACAGGTACTATGTGGCCGAGTTGAGATTCAAACCTATCTAGCCCCTTTCCATAGGCTGGGCCTTGATTTCATTCCCTCCCTCTCTAATAATAAAGGAGGAGAAGAGAAAGACATTCATTTGCCCCTTGGAGAAAACTAGGAAGGGGCTCCTACTTTCTTGAAAACTTTGCCCTTTGCTCTGCTCCCCTCCACCTTCATATTAGGGATTTAAATTCTAGTCCGTTCTGGGCTTTTTGTAACTCATCTCCATAAAATGGCAACAGAAGTGGTTTTAAAAAAAAGCACTTTGGAAAGCTCATTAATGAGCCTTACGTGTTGGAACCTTTATCTTTTATCAATCATAATTTATAAAGAACAGCATGAAAAGTAATGTGGAAAACTTTGAGATTGAAAATGAATATAGTGGCAAATGTTTCAAACTCACCTCTTATTTTTCTTGTAATTCTCCAGTTGCTGGGACTGCATGTGTTTGCATCTTTCTAATTCACACTGCCCACAAAGATCTTCCAGATGCAGCAGGTGATTTTCTACTTCCTCAAAACTAGCCTCTAAATGAGCTGAAAGAATATAAGATAAAAAGAAGAAACATCAAAAATCACAATCCCTGATCATGAAGATAAGAAAGTGTCAAAAAGATAAAAGTTTAAATTGGTGATATTGTTTTGCCTTTGTTTAATGTTCTTCATTAAACTTTCTTGAAGCAAAATAAAATATAATAACACTAAAACATACTTCAAATTAACTTTTTTGACTATATTTCAACCATTTTAAAGATGTAACTTTCCTAAATACTTTATTAACCAGAAAGTTGAAGAAATGGAGTATCTTGATTAGTCTAATATTACATCCTAATAATCTCATATACCGTATGTGAATATTTAATTTTCACATGAGAATATAGCAAAATTCAGTTAATACAAATTATACCTAACTTAATTTAATATTCACTCTCTCAAGTTACTTAAGCATTTGTTTTGCCTCCTGAGTATCATATACACAAGGCACAGCAGACATGTACAAATATTCAGTACGCACAGGTTACCAGGACAGTCAGTGGTCAGGTGGAAAGAGACTCAGCTCCATCCACCAGGTGACCAGTATTCCACTGTCCTTCTCTGCCTCTAGGCCACAGAGCTTTGCAGCTTTATCGGAACATGAAGATCATCCAGTCAAATTTTTCACTGAAAAGATTCAAGACCAAAGCCTAGAGAAACAAATTCAGTGCCTCACCCAAAGTCACACAGCTAGTAAAGCAGAACAGGAATCTAAACCAAGTCCCTCTTAGACTACAATGCTTTCCAGTGGATAGGATGCTAAGTAAACCATGATCGTAGGGGCAAGGATTGGTTTTTTTCTCATGCGACAGAAATGCGATAGAGTAAAAGATCTCAGAATCCAAACAGCCTCATAACCATTTATCAAATGCCCACTGACATGCGCCAGTCACAAAGACGGAAAAGACAGTCCTTGAACTCAAGCAGCTTACAGCAAAAGGGAAGCATATTTCAGTGGCAACACAGCCTGACAGAGCTAGGTGCCAGGTGCTGTGGGGATGCAAAGTAGCATCTCGCACAGATGAGAAAGAGTGAGGGACAACTCAACAAGAGATCACTCCCAAGTTGGGAACTGACAGCAATCCAGGGGGAAAGGGGCAGCAGAGCAGGAACAAGTTGGCCATGCAGCCTTCGAGTCTCAGGTTCATTTAAACAGCTACGATACAATTCCATCATTAATCTACTAGTTTTTAATGTGACTTCTAAACTAGCTTTCACAGCATCTAGGTTACAGGCAAACTCCTCAAATTAACTTGCAATTCTAGATTTATTATAATGCAAATTTTTGCTTGTTTTTGGAAGTCCTAACCAGAGTGATTAGGCAAGAGAAAGAAAGGGCATCAAAATTGGAAAGGAGGAAGTCACACTGTGCCTGTTTGCAGATGACATGATCTTCTATATAGAAAACCCTAAAAGCACCACCAAACAACTTTTAGGACTTCACAAATGATCCAGTAAGTTGCAGTATACAAAACCAATCTATAAAAGTCAGTAACATTTCTACACGCCAACAATGAAAAATAGTAGGGGAAAAAATCAAGAAGGCAATCCCATTTACAATGGTTACAAAAAATTAAAATACTTAAGATGAAATTTAACCAAGGAGGTGAAAGATTTCTACAAGGAAAGCCACAAAATACTGAAGAAAGAAATTGATGGAGACACATAAAAATGAAAAGATATCCCATGTTCATGGATTTGAAGAATGTTATGAAAATGACCATACTGCCAAAGGTGATTTAGGGATTCAATGCAATCCTTATCAAAATACCGATAACATTCCTCACAGAAATAGGAAAAAAAAATCCTAAAACTTATATGTAATCACAAAAGAGCCCAAATATACAAAGCAATCCTGAACAAAAAGAACAAAGCTGGAGGTAGCACATTACCTGACTTCAAAATACTACAAAGCTATAGTAACCAAAACAACAACATGGTATAGCATAAAAAATAGCCCCATATAGCAATGAAACAGAATAGAGAACTCAGAAATAAATTCAAGTATTTACAGCCAACTGATTTTTGACAAAGCCACCAAGAACATTCATTGGTGAGAGTAGAATGGTTACTGGGAAGGGGATAGGGGTAGCCAGAGGGATAGGCTGGGAAGAGGACAGGGGTAGCCAGAGGTTGGTTAACAGATACAAAAATGCAGCTATATAGGAGGAATAAGTTCTACAGTTCTATAGCACTGTAGGGTGACTACAGCTAACAGTTTATTGTATAGGTTCAAATAATTAGAAGAATAGATTTTGAGTCTCCCCAACACAAAGAAATGATAAATATTTGAGGTGATGGATATGCTTACTAAGCTGATTTGATCATTATACATTGTATACTTGTATCAAAAAAATCACACTGTACCCTATAAATATGTACAATTATTATGGTCAATTAAAAATAAAGCAAAATATATATATACAAATATCAAAAATTAAAAAAAGAAAAGACAGGCATAAACTGGGAGAAAATCTTTGCAGAACACATCTGATAAAGGATTGGTATTCAAAATGTAGAAAATATTCTTAAATTGCAATTGAGGGACACTCTATAAAATACTTGATCTATATGCCTCAAAAAACTGTCAAGGAGCCGGGCGCGGTGGCTCACGCCTGTAATCCTAGCACTCTGGGAGGCTGAGGCGGGCGGATTGCTCAAGGTCAGGAGTTCAAAACCAGCCTGAGTGAGACCCTGTCTCTACTATAAAAAAATAGAAAGAAATTAATTGGCCAACTAATATATATGTATAAAAAAAAAAATTAGCCGGGCATGGCTCGTGCCTGTAGTCCCAGCTACTCGGGAGGCTGAGGTAGGAGGATCGCTTGAGCCCAGGAGTCTGAGGTTGCTGTGAGCTAGGCTGACGCCATGGCACTCACTCTAGCCTGGACAACAAAGCGAGACTCTGTCTCAAAAAAAAAAAAAAAAAAAAACTGTCAAGGAGGTCAGGCATGGTGGCTCACACCTGTAATCTTAGCACTTTGGGAGGCCGAGAGGGTAGGAATGCTTGAGGCCAGGAGTTCAAGACAAGCCTGAGCAACATAGCAAAGCCCTGTCTCTACAAAAAACAGAAAAATTAGCTGAGCATGATGGTGCACACCTATAGTCCCAGCTACTCAGGAGGGTGAGGCAGGAGGATCACTTGAGCTCAGGAGTCTGAAGTTGCAGTGAGCTGTGATGACGACACTGTACTCTAGCCTGGAGACAGAGCAAGACCCTGTCCTCCCCCAAAAATAAAAACACTGTCAAGGTCATCAAAAATAAACATCTGAGAAACTGTCTGAGCCCAGAGGAGCCTAAGGAGACATGATGACTACATTTAATGTGATATCCTGAATGGGATCTTGAAACAGAAAACGAATATTAGGTAAAAACTAAAGAAATGTGAATGAAGTATGAATTTTAGTTAATTTTAAAAATTAGCTTTTTATTTCATCTTTGATCCAAAGGCCTATTAAATCCAGAAGCATTGACATTTTCTAATACTTTAAATTTTAACTCTACTAAATATTTGTGCATATAGAAACTAGCACCCCTATTTGGTAGGGCATAAACAAAAGCTCAAAGACATAGATTTGGGGAGAAATAAAATTTTATCCCAAAGTGGAATATGATAAATAGTTTAGCAGTTCTCTTCAAAGACACTTTAGGTACTGACTTTTATCACATTGCTGTATCACTGTAAACCACTGTTAAGTCTGAAAAAGGCTGACAATAATGCACTTCATAATGGTTTCGAATCTATCCTCAGGGGTCATGTAAAACAGCTAACATATGTGCTTATAGAAGGCCTAAATAAAATAATTTATAAAATCTAAATTTTAACCAATAAGTAATTATATTTAAGATGTTTTAGGAATGTCATAAATAGTACATAAGGAGTTTATGTGGGGAAAATAAGCAAAATAATATTATATTGCCATTTAGATCCTTTTTTATTGTACTGAATGAAAAATTGACCAGGAGACAGCCTGGGAGTTAGTACTACGGGCCCTGAAAAACCAATATTCAGCTTATTCTGTTACAACTAATCTGACACGGTCTTAAAATGTACGAATGACAATCATAGCTAATAGGATTATTTAAAAGGCGATTTCACTTTGATTAGTGATAAGAACCAGAATAATTTAATATGGAATCCATTTAACTCTAAGCTACTTGGTTCCTACGGTATAATGCGTGCATCCTTAGCATATAGAGGACTGGCTAAGAGTTAGGCTTTGAAGCACAACCTTAGAAACCCAGTTCTGCCACTTGCAGATGAGATGCAACGTGATGCCTCACCTGTGAAAAGAGGGCTAACAACATACATCTTGCAATGCTGTTGAAAGGATTAAATGGGCCAAAGTATCTAAACTTAGCACTTGACAGTTATTAAATAATGACTGAATATAAAAAATACGTAGAAAACTTTTGTAGATTAGTTTTGTAAAAGTCATTTAAAAATAATAATTTTGTTGACCAGTAATGATCATGATGTAAGCAAGATCTATAGATCTAACAGATCAAAATATCAGTAACACTTTCATTTTTCTGGACAAACTTACGTACCTACAAATTATACTCCAGGCTATATTCTTAGACTTAAGATTCCCTATAGGTGAGGGGAATTAAATTTCAAATGATTTTCCTAAAAAGAAAATATAAAAATACATAATAGAGTCAATAAATATTCTAAGTTAGAAAATGTGTACATTCCTTTTTTATCTTTACATGGATGGGTGGCAATTTCCAGTTAGATTCTAGCTCTGTTTGTTGACTACAGAGCTAAAGAGGCCGAAACTTGAACAAAGTTGATCTCTAGGCCAATTACTTTCTCCTGGACAGAGATTTCTATTCTAGGTACAAGTTGTACTTGCTGCCCTCGCCATTCTTCTGTTAATAACACAGGGACCAGGTGAGAACATGAGAGTGGTTTGGTACCAACTTCTAACTCCTAATGAGAAAGAAACAAACCATACATCCTTCTGGATAGGCCAACAGCAACATGCTCTTGTGTTGAA